AAAAAAGTGTGTAAAAGATTTTTTAACCCAAACTGCTTTACCCAAAATTTTGGTCCACAGCCTACATTTGGTTACTTATTGGAGCAAATAAAATTTAGCCATATGTACAGGTCCCATTTTGTCAGAAATAGAATTTGGATCCAAGTATCTATTATAAACCAGTGAATTTATACTACTATATTTGTATGTACATGTATTATGTACATGTATTATGTTGTATTGTTAAAATATATAGTAATTAATCCAAATGCCTTTTAGTTTACATAACTTAAGTAAACCTTTGATTAAAAAGCTGTTTTTAAATTTGTTGATCAAATAAAAATAGAAATGTCTCCAGAATTGTCACCATAGATTTTTGCCTGAGTTTACTGTTATATAACAGTTATGTATTTGTCTCTGCAAGAAGTTTTAAGGGTATCATATTATTAAACCACCCTAAAAACAGAATGGTCTTTGTTTGCATAACTCTTTGACAGATAAGACTAATTTAATATTGTTGGTTTAATGAAAACAGCTGTATCTTCTGGGTTATCAGCAAAATACCATATCTTTAACTTTAAGGTTCTTACTTGAATGATGAATACCTGATATTCTCAGGCTATAAAAATGGTTAACAGGGAAATAACGTGAAATGCTGACTAGCTTTGTCTAATATCTTGGTTTTCATAAGTAATTTAGGTATAATAGAGTGAAAATAAGTAAATGAGGTGAATGTAAATGGGATAAATGTTTATAAACGAGCTTTTTATGTAACTTGAAATTTTAAAATTCTGTTATATTAAATTAAGTGATAGTAAAATGTCTCATTAAATGTCTGGGTCATCTCCAAATAAGATAAAATAATGAAACATAAATTGCTGAAATATAAGTTTGTTCTTGACTTCTTTAATTTTATAGAATGACTAAATATATTTGGGTCTATTAATACACATAAAAATTATGTTTGGGGGAACATGTTTTTAAAAATTTTTAAATAGACCTCATCTATAAAATACTAATATGTGACAGCCCAAAATTTCTTTCTTCCTAGGTTTTTACTAAAAATCAAGATTACTAAGATTTAAAAAATTCTAATCAATATATATAATTCTGTATACAAAGTGTACAAATAAGTAAGATGTATTTTTGATTAGAAAAATATAAGAAAGTTATAAAAAGTTGTTTTTATTGGGAAAAAAGGATAATTGTATAAGTTCAGAGGTTATTTACGGTTGTGTCAAAAAGCAATTTTAGGAAGGAAATAGAAATAAGATAGAAAAGAAACAGTAAATAGGAGAAAGGGATGTGAAGAATGTTATAAAAATATATTCTGGTGAGAAATGTTATAAAGGAAAGAGAATAATTTTGTATGAGAAAGAATCTTGTGTGGTAAAGTTTTTGTCCTAAAGTAAAATGACTGGCTATTTAAGAAAGAAAGTATAGGACAAAACTAAATGCCTAACCGTATGCATGTCACGGAAAGTATAAGTAAGTCAGGGTTGTGAAGGATGAATTTATGAAAAGAATTTTATGTGTGATCAAGTTGGCTATAATTAGAAGCAGATGGTGTCTAGGTCTAAGACTTCCTAAAGATTGAGCTTTACACGTAAATAAACTTTGATTATATATGTGTATACACTGATAAAAAAAAAACTAAAATTTTGACCCCCTATGTTAAAACAAGGGTTTCTTCAAGTACTGATCTGTTCTTAGCAAAACTTGGAACAGGTTTTGAGTTTTTAATTCTGAAATCTGTTTGTTTAAATTTTCAGCCATATTCTTATTTGCAGCTTTTTTTCTGTTTTACGGTCTCCATTTAATTTTACTACTTTCAGGTTAAAAGTGCTGTCTTCTTGATTTAGAATGGTAATTTTATTTCTCGAGGTAGAGTTTTCTTCTTGAAGCTTCTCAGATCCACATCTCAGAAGTTTAACTTTTGCTGCATCTCGCTGCACATCGTTTGCAAGTCATACACCGTTGCCTCCTGCTCTTCCTCCTTCTCCCCCTGAGAAGGAACATCTTTTGCTTGGCCTGGGTAACAAGTCTTTTTTTCAACTTTTTCATCAGCTCTTGTAACTTTTTTCTCCATTTCTAACTCTGCTCTTATGTCCTAATGCTAAAATGTTTGTCTTGAAGGCCTAGAAAAGCTAAGCTTTCCTCCAGTATAACTGTACTCCTGGCTTTTCTTGATGTGTCTGAATTGTTCCATGTAACCAGGAAATTTCTCATGCTTTTACTAAGAGCCATGTATTCCTCTGCTCAAGGTACAATTTTCTTGTTTACCTTCCTCTATAATAAGGTGTACACTCATAACCTTGGACACACATTCCTATGTGTCTGATTAAATTCAAGTAACTTTTCATCAGGTTTGACTTCCAGGTTATCTAAATGCGCTTACCCATAAGAAGGAGAGAAGCAATCATACTATAGTAGATTTTCTTTTCCTTTTTGGTAACTGGCCTAAGAAACAAAGATTTCACCTTTTATCAAGATAATTCCTTGTGTTGCATATTATCTTAGGTTGTTTGACTACTTGGGAAATCCGAGCTTTGAAAAGGTTATAGGATTTTTGTTTTTGTTTTTTCTTTTTATATCCATGCAGCTCTCTGTATTACTTTGGTAGTCTTTGATTATCACTCTGCTTAAATTAATTCCTGTTATTTCGCAGTGACTGGTGACCCTGTTTTGATTAGGCATTTTAAACCTTTTGACATCTTTGAGGGGTTTCTCCATTATCAGAATTCTAAATTAAGTCTTTTGACCTAGAATTAGCTTTGGAATTTTTCCGTTTGGCCCCTAGAGAGCCTCAAAGGATGTATTTCTCATCTTCTAGAGCTATTAAATGATTAGGCTTATTTGGTAAATTGTATTTCTTAAATTCTTCTAGATTCCTCCAATCCAACTTTCTTCCACTGAATTACTCAACACAGGAACTGCTCTGTTACTGGAGCCCTATAAGCTGAAACTAGATGAATTGTAAGGGACTACTATCATACCTCATGAATGGACAACACAGAAAGTTCACCAAACTGCTTGATCCCATAACCAGAGACATTCAAACTGCAAACCAGGATGAGAAATTGATGGCTTCACACTATTGACCACTTTTCCCAGGATGTTGCAATAAGACTCGATATCATAATGATACACTTATCCCTCTTAATGTCTACCTTTTTCACTTGGCAAGATAATAGTGTGATTTATTCAATTGGTTGACTTTAAGGCTAGGTTCATAGCTTGAAACCATTATGCAAACTGGGATTATCACATTATTATTAATTTTACTTTGTGTTTTCCTTTTTGAACTTTGTACCTGTTACTTGTTAAATACATGCAGAAATACAGCTCTTAGAATAAAGCTGGCCCCGCACTTCAAGATGATTGCCAGTGCCTACAGAACTGACAAAATTGAACTTAACAGTGAACACAAGGTAGACTTAACCTGAGAACTCCCTCTAAACTTCTCTTGTTTCTCAAATATGGCTAGGAGGATCGACACTGACTCCTAGTCACCATTTACTCCCTCCAATGTGGGGACAGACCAACAATCTAGGACAGGTCCATCCTGGCACCAAGGGACAATCAAAACCTAGCTAAAGATTGATCAATCAGCAATGCTTTTGGAAAATGATCTTGATCAAACGGGAGAAATATGAAAGTTGTGAAAACGTGAAACCACAACCTTGCACAAATGTCATCACAGTCTTACACAGAAAAATACTTCTGCAAGGACATCTGCCCAGCAATTGCCTGTCCAACCTTGGACTCGTGCCACCCTAGTTATTGATCCTTGTAGCCAAGCATAATTATCTCAAAATAATTATGCAATCCTCTTCATTTTTCCTTTAAAAGTCTTTGTCTTCCTTTACTTCCCTGAGTATACACATCATTTACTATGGCACGCATATTCCCATTGCAATGCCCTATTTCCAAATAAATATTTTCTTTTAGAGAGTCTCTCTCTGTCTGTTATTTAGGTTGACACAGGAAAATCTGAAACATGATTTTCACCAGTTAGATACAAATGATCTTTTCTGTGTTGCTTGGCAATAGTCATATGGATTCAGATTGCACTAAGATTAGGTTCTGAGAACAAAAGATTTTGCCTGGGATAACTATTTTTGGTCCAAAGATTAGCTTATTTTAAATTTTTAGTGTGTAGGCCAGGCCTGGTGCCAAAATAATCCTGTATGACGTTTCAACTTTTATGATTCTTTAAAAAGTGGGGTACCTAAGAGAGATTTGACACTGAAATAATTTAGCCTCAAAGGGTCTGAAAGAATTACTTTAACATCAATAAAAAACAGCTCATGATTCTGCTATTGAAAGAACCACTATCCTAGCCAGATATCTGCAACAGGATAACTCTGACTATAGGACAGTGAAGTTTCATTTTTAGACTTTGATTTCTTTGTGAATTTAGTAATGGGAGTGTTTTATAATGCTCACGTTTTACTGTTGTAATTTTACTGTTGTAACTTTTCTGTTTATATTATCATACAAATCTTTCCACAAACTTTTTAAAGTACCCTCATATTCATATAGTCAACTTTCCAGAAATCCTCCCCCACATTATTCTCTCATTCCCCAAAGAATCAGCGCTTTTAGCTTTTATGATATTTCCACATAATACTGGCTTTTTATATGTGTTTTATAATTGAAAAATTGGTGGTTCTAAAAGTAAGTATTTTTAAATTCTAAGGGCATGTTTCCCTTTATAAAAAAGAGTTCTTGATCTGTTTAACATGAATACAACCTTCTTTTAAGTAGCATTATATATATAGCAATTGTATATCTGTTTGCCAAGTGTCAGGTAACATTTTATAAAATTAAGCTTTCCTGTGTTCTACATTATTCCATTATTCAACAAATATGTATCAAATGCCTACTAGTTGCCAGACATTGTTCTAGGTTCTGGGACAGCCCCGAACAAAGCAGACAAACTCTTGCTTACATTCTTGTGAAATTCAGTATCTATTAAAACCATGGGGCCACTTAAATAACAAGGCCTCTTTACTGACCTCACATGGAATTTCAGCAGGAAGTACCATTGCCAGTGGTATGGTGCTTCTTGACGCTTCTGATAAATCTTCAGTTTCCTTTCTCTCACTTATTTCTGCAGAATGTTTCACTCTTAGGTCTTTTGAAATGTTGACCTCAAAGTAGTCTTCAGGACCTAGAAACAATTTTATAAATGTAGATTGTAATATACCTAAATCCATATTATTTTCTCCATTACAATAAAGATTAATTGCTGAGCAATCAACTTAATTAATATATGGGACAACCAAAGTGAGTTTAAAATAGCTGAAATAATTGAACCAATGTTAATAATTAAAATAATGCTTCACAATTTACTTAATATTATAACTTTCACGACTAAACTAAATCAAGTATATAATATGTTCATCTACTAGTTAAATGTTTTCCAAAAAAAATCCAACCACCATTTATATTTTCTCTTAATATTAAAATAGTATATTTAAGGGCCGGCCCGGTGGCGCACTGCTATGGTGCGCCGCTTCGGAGCGCAGCAGCGCTCCCGCCGATGGTTCGGATCCCACATACAGACCGGTTCCCGCTCACTGGCTGAGCAAGGTGCGGGCGCGACACCGGGGGTTGCGCTCCCGTTGCCGGTCCCGGTCTGGTACGGGCGCGACACTGAGGGTTGCGATCCGTTGCCGGACACGAAAAAAGATAAAAAAAAAGGGAAAAAAAAAATAGTATATTTACAAAACTTGAAACAATTTCTTTTCCATGATGGTTATTAAGAAAATTTATTTTATTTTAAATCAGAACAGTTATTTACTCTTTTTATATATTTCTAACTTTTAAAAACAAAAAGCATAACTATGGGGTAATCACTAAATAAACTAAACTAGTATTTCTATGGAACACTGGTTTAATAGTGAAATACTAGTGCTCATCAAAATGTCAAGTTTTCTATGAAAATAAATGTTCTACATTAAATAAGCTGGGTTTCTTTATGGCAATATTATGAAGAACAGTGAAATATGCTAATGTGAGTTTTGAATCTCAAAAGGATAGAATATTTTACTTTTTTTCAATTTTTACATTTAGTAATTTAGCATTTGGTTTCAATTATTAAAACATTGTTCTCTATTCAAAAAATGTGTTAAGAGAGATGAATAATTTTTTTATTATTCAATGTCTCAAAGCTCCAAGTGTTTCATTAGGGCACAGAACCGACGTGGCTAAAATCAAGACTCTAACAAGAAGAAGGTAACATCTGTAAACTCTTAGGCCCAACCAAGAGCATCTGTCAAATCCCTAAAGAAGGGAACTGGAAAAAATGAAGCAGCCCCTGTCAGCTAGAAACTGGCCTTATGATGCGAGAAGCCCTTGGTGTTTAGGAGCCTGTCTGGCAGTCACAGGTAGACCCTGATGTTCTATTGAACATCAAAACCCTCACAGAACATCAAAACCAGACAAGGCCACTCTGTCACCATGAGTGATCAAGACAGAGACAAGACTGCTCGGTAATCACATCAGAATCCAGGCAAAAGCATAAACATTACCCAAACCACAAAATGACCAAACATCTCGAATCCTGCCTAGTTTCTTTACCAATACCAGCTTTGGGCTCTTTTCTCTTCTCCTGCTTTCTAGATAAAGTGACCCCCTCCTCCTGGTTTGCCTGGTTTGGGCACTGATAATGCTGTGTCCCAGAAACCCCTCAGTTCCACGCAAATTTGAACAGGTGGTCACCCTACTTCCAAGCAGAGTCATTAATATACCTTTAATATAAAATATAATGATTAAATATAATATAACTTAATATAAAATATAATGATTTATACAAAATATAATATAAAATCTTTATATGTATATAAAAGATACCATTTTAATACAAAATATAACAATTCTAAATATATACGCATCAAAATCATAAAATTTCCTGATAGCAAGCAAACTGGTGCAAAGCCCTTGCTATCTTGAACTCTTCCTCAAATCACTTAACACATGCTCAAATCCTATAAGTCTTTTCTAATACCTTTTTATTGAGACACCCCATAATTCCCCATGGTGTGCCTTATTTTCATTACAACAAGCAAAAACTCCAAATAGCTCAAGTGCAAGTATGTTTCTGGTGGTCTTTGGCTAAAGGGTATTGAGAGAATAGAAAGGAAGAAGAGTTGAAGGCAATACACCCAGAAGTAGCTAGAGTTTTGGTCTCATTGCATCCCCCAAACTGTAGTCACTAGTTCCATATAGGTGATTCTATCAGAAAAGCAGAATAACAAAAGAGATATCCCTTTGAGAGGAGCTGTCTTCATGCTGTATCTAAGAAGTTTTTGTTTGTTTCTGTCTTATGACAGTTGCAGAATTAAGGCACAAAAGCACCTGGGATTTCCAGATTTCTCTCAGTACTAATGGTGGTCAAAATGAAATGGAAAACAGACTTTATTTCTCTTAACTGTTTAAAACATGTTCATAAGCAGTCTCATTCTCTCTCTCTCTCTGTCTCTCTGTCTCTCTCTCTCTCTTTTTCAAACACATGCACAGGCACACACACACACAAATCAAAATAGTGAAAGGCTGTATAAAACTGGTTCAATCATTCTGTAAACTGATGGAAGAACTGGGAAACTGATTTCATCTGATATACCTTAAAAGAAGAAGGAGTAAGTCATTCCACTATGGCAGTATCCAGGATTTTCTGCTAATTTCTCTGTGATATTAGGCTAAGAAGAACTATTTTATCTGTCTTGGGGATATAATCACAGATGTACAAAAAGATTTATCTGTATGAATGGACGTAAAAGCTCTGTTTATAATGCAGGAAATTGGAAGCACTCTAAGCAATAAGGGACCAGATGAAAATATGCCATATAATAAAAGATTTAGGTAATAAAAATTCTATCAAGGAATATTCAACAAGAGACAGGTTTACAATATAATTGAAAAAATTCAAGTTACAGAATTGTCGGTTTATAGGTTACCATTACAGTAAAATAAAAAGTATACATATACAGAGCTATGTGGTTAGAATCTAAGACATATTCTTGAATGAATAAGAATAGACTAACCATGTATATACCAAAAATATCAAGAGTGGTTATTTCTGGCTTGTGGGTTATGGGTAATTTATTAGATATATATAGACAGATACATATAATATCTAATAATATAGTATGTGTAATACATATTATGATTTTTCTATGATGAAAATGTACTTATTTTACAAATTCAACTATGTATAGTATGTTTAATTCAAGTAGAGAAAAAAATTGATCAAGACTACAGATTGGCTATTCACCTTCTTTACAACATGTAAATCAAATAATAGAAAAATTATTTAAAGTATAATAAATGTATTATAGCACTAGAAATTAATAAATGGTATAATTACATAGGAACAAATTTTGAAGAATTCCTGAAAGTTAGAAGTTAATCTGGATTACATGGACAGAGGTACCAAAGCAGAGAAACAGAAACCAAAACATGTTTAGAAAAGACATCTTCAAATATAAGATTAGTTTTCCAAAACTAAAAAAACCCTGCAAATTCAAAATTCAAAGAGCAGAGGAGGTACAGGGACAAAGATGATGGTAATACGTTAAAACCTCATTTGGAACAACTGAGAGAGTTCTACTTTTGCATTTGACCTAAGAATAAAACTCTAGAATCTTTCTAAAATAGACAATCCAGTACTAGTACTGGACAAGGTAGTAGAGTGGAGCCTGATGTATTTCCCAACCTTCCCAAAGACAGCAAACAAACGAAAATTGATAAAAGTGCTGACTTCAGCATTTTTCTATGGGCTAAATTTGTAAGCATGGATCTATAGTTTGTAAGTATTTTGACCAGTAAACTCATAGAAGGAGCAACAACTATTAACTGACAGTGATTCTCAGTTAAAAACATAAATTGTCACCCAAGATTATCACCATCTTAAACAATAATCTATTACATGCAAGAGAGGCACCATAATCAACAAAGATAAAAATTTAACATTGAAAAAAAATTGTATTAAGTATAGTCAAGCTTTTCAGAAAACCTTAGTGGGCTACCATATTCCTGAGAAGGAATGGGAAGTTACCATGACAAAGCAGGAGATGAGTAATAAGAGAAAAGAAAGTAAGGAAGTGTTTATGTCAGGGAGCACTAAAATTCAATCTACCTGTACAGGTTCACTGCTAACGCTCCATGCTCACCATCATGCGAAGTGCAATCAAAGATGTGAGAGACTACAGTCTCCTCAGTTCTGTGCCAGCTGACTCATCCACTTTCTTCCAGACTGCATTAGAAATATTGTCTTTTTGTGTGTGTGTCATGTTTTAAAAATGGTTAGGAAATTCCACTCTGCAGATAGTATGTAAAATAAATCACCCCATGATAAGGTGATCCAATTCCAAAACGTAACAGCTGGAATAAAGGTTGCTCTCCCCACTTTCAATATGAATACATACTAGGGAAAAATAAAAATAAATACCCTAAAGCAAGACAATTTTTTGTAATTTTCTTAACAATTAATAAAGTTACATTATAAATTTAGTAAAAGAGCAAAACTTTGTAAAATATTAAAGCACCAGAAAATGAATTTTCCTTTATGAATTAAGTTATAAAAACTGGCATATATTTAATTTTTTAAAGCTTCCTTTCCGCCTTTCAAATCAGAAACTCTTTCACACTACAGAACTTATTTTTTTCCAAAAAATATAATTTTAGTGTTTGTTTTAATAGATTTTGTGTTTAATCCTTTGGCAATTAATTAAATACACATTGACATAGAATAGGTTTTCTAATAATTGAAAAAATCTAGGTGAAAACTGGAAAAAGTAGAATCTTTTATTTTTGTTATATTTGGACTGACTTCACTATAAAAATTTGATATGAAAAAAGTCATTATTCAATGCCCAATGTACTTTAAAATTTAACAGTAGTTAACAGGAAAAGCAAATGTTCCATTTTCTTTACAAGTGATTCAGAAAAAAAAAAGGAGCACTTAATCTAGAAGAAATATGCCTCCCACTGAAAAAAAAATCATTTTTCTTGTGTGACCTTGGGAAAAGTACTAAGCACTATAATCTTCAATTTCTTCAATTATTTAGTGGGGTAAATAGTGTCTTCCTTATTGGATTGTTCTGATTATATAAAATAAATCTAATGTGCCAGGTCCATAGTAAGTACTCAATATTAGTTTTCTCCTCT